AGGTCATACCGCACCACATCCAATGATGCCCTCCAGGTTCTGGCTGGGGTTCTCCCCCTGGATCTTGAGGTCCAGCGTAGGGGTCATAATCTTGCATTAAGGACCGATTATAAGATTTCTGATATCTTGAATCTAGATAACGTTACTGTGGAACACAGAGTTCCGGCAGCATATAGTATGCCAATAAAGGATATACCGAGGGTTGTTCAAGTTTGTTATAATGGCTCTCATCGTGATCGTGTATATACGGATGGTTCAAGAAGTAGTATGGGAACCGGGGCAGCTTTTGTTTATTATAGTGCCCATCGTGCTATGTATCACCAAACGTGGAAGATGAATCCACTTTGCAACAATTTCCAGGCTGAGCTGTTTGCGATCTCTAAGGCTGTTAAATGGATATATAAAAGTCAGAGAAAAAAGACCATTGCTATTTGTACTGATAGTCAGGCAACTATTTCTGCTATACAAGATTTAAATAGTAAAAACTGGGTTGTTGGTGAAATATGGAGCTGTCTAGCGGACAGGGAAAGAGAGATTACTGTGGTCTTTTGCTGGATCCGTGTTCATATGGGGAATACTGGTAACGAATACGTGGATATTTTGGCAAAATCAGCGAGCATTCAGAATACGGATATTGCCTGTAATGTTGTTTCCAGTAACTATATTAAGCATAGTATAAAGGATTACTATAATTCTGTTTGGCAAGATCGTTGGTCATCTTCTTTAAACGGCAGAGGATTGTTCTCATTCTTTCCAGATGTTAACCAACGTGTGAACAATAATCACTTGATCATTGACTTTGCTACGTCTACTTTCTTCAGTCACCACGGCAACTTTAATGTGTACAACTATAAGTATGGTCACTCAGATAATGATACCTGTGACGTTTGTGGTGTACCTGAGGATCCCAACCACGTTCTTTATGACTGTGTCGCCCTTGATGTGGATAGGCTGGAGTTACAGCTTATTAGTGAGGAAGAGGGTTTTTGCTGGCCTATCTCGAAGCAGTCAATTGTTAATAATAAGCATCTGTTTGATATTATGTATAGGATGATTACTCATTATTATAGACTGAGAAAGTTCAGTGGATAATTTTCCATGGTTTGGCTGTTGTGTCACTATCTCCACGCGTGCTATTATGATGTCGCGATGTTTGTTTTGCTGTCGGATTTTCTCATTCTATGTTATGTCTTCTCTACAGAGCGTTGTGGTGTAGAGTCTTTTGGATCTTTCCACTAAGATGGCCCTTTGAGGCTTCTTTGTAGAAGTGTTTCCTATTGAATAAATAAAAAAAGAAAAAAAAAAAAAAGTTCCTATCCACTATGTCTGCCCGTAGATCTTCGGACTCGGTCATTGAAGAAATAGATATTGAAAGTAAAAGGTTATCAGGTAAGATCTATGATTATAATGAAAAAATGCATCAAATGATGCTTGAGGTGAATAAGATGTGCTACGAAAAAGGTAGCAGAATTAGTCAAATATTGGCTAGTAAAATAATGGAGTTTATGACGGAAGCACAACAAATAGTGCAAGTACTGGTTACTGAGAGAGAGGTGCTTAAAGCACAGGTAAGAACGGTAAGAGAGGTAAAAAATGAGCTGGAGAAAGATTTTAGAGATAAGCCTAGCTATTCTCAAGTGACTAAGGCTAATGTCCCTTTAACAGGTAAGGTTCAGGGACAGATTAAAGGTGGTTATGGTGGTAAAGAAGAAGCAGTGCTTCTGGTGAAAAGTAAGAAAGGTGATATGAACAGTGAAGTAATAAAGGAAAGTTTTTTGAAGAATATTAATCCAAGGAAAGATAAGGTGAGAATTGGTAGCATCAGAAAGATGCGCACTAATGGTATAGTTGTAACTCTAGCCAGTAAGGGTGATCTTGGTAAGGTATTAACTAACAAAAATTTAATGGATGGTGAGTTAATTGTTGAACAACCGACTAAGCGTCGGCCGAGATTGTTGATTAAGGACATTCCCAAGGGTATGTCAATGGAAGAGGTGATAGATCATATTGTAGATCTTAATAGTGACACGCTCTATGGGGAGGAGGTGTCTATGGATAAATTTATATCTGATTTTAGGTTGGTTTACCGTACTGACCGTAAGAGAGAGGGCCTTACGGATTGGGTGGATGAAGTAGCAGCCAGTTTACGGGTAAGATTAATACAGTGTGGTCGAATATACATAGGTTATAGAAGTTGTGTGGTTAGGGANAGCGAGGCCCCGGGCGATTGCCCTGCTCGCCACCCCCTAAGGCCGCCACTGTATGTGAGAGCCCGGACTTGTCAAAAATTTTACGAAAGAGATGACACAACCAAAAAGGATACGATTATATTTTTTCCCACAGACTTTCCTCCTTGTCCAGAGGTGACACATCCTCTCTCGGGACTGGTTAGGGACCCGTTACGCTATATAGAAGGTATGACGGAAATGCTACGCTATGTATTATCCTACGAATATATGTGTAATTAGTTTACATAAATAAACGGTTATTTGTTTACGTTAAATCTGTAGTCGAGTGCATTCCTCCGGACACGTTGTCTCTCGGATATCCTCCATTCCGAATCCAACCGCTTACGTACGCCACCGCTGGCGTCGGTCCCGACGTAGGCATCGCCGATCCGGTGCCGACCCTTCGGTCACATACATATATTTATTAGAATTAAAGATAGCCGAGGACCCTACTTTGCCGGGAGCTACGATCATTACTCGGTAATCGCAATTTTCTATTTTTTACGAGCTTTATCCCGAAACTATTCTGACAAAGGAGACGGATACCAGCGAGCTTCTACAAAAATAACGACGGTTAACTATTAAATGTAAACATTTCGTTATTCTACTAACACGTTTTATTCTAAACCGTCGACAATCAAGATTTTTCATTTACCTCCGAATTCTTTCGACGTCCGCTTTAATGAATAATTCTATATTTGTTGGACGATAAGCGACGTCTCGAATCAGCCAGAGGACGTGAGAATCTGGAGAAACGGAAGAACTGCGACAGAATTACGGGCGAACACCGAGATAACTGTGAGAGGGAACTCTAAAAACTGGGTGTTCTGGGCTTTGAACTCTTCCAATCGGGGGTTATTAAACCACCGCGTGACGGGAACCGGAGGTGACGCGTCGACGACATGGGAGATAATTAGCGTCATGGAGGGAAATGATCTAATCTTAGCAAAGACGGAAGGAAGTTCCATTTCCCTCCTTAACCAAATTCGAAAGTAAAGTAGAATTTACTGATTTCTTTAAACAAACAAATTCTCGACATCTTTTAATAATTAAAATGAAAACTAAATAAATCTGTTTAAAATGTGGGTAAAACTAGGTCGGATGGTCTCCGGGTTCTCACCTATATATACAGATAAAAATTATTCAAAATAATACGAATCCGTACATTTCTATTCCGTGTGTAACCGAGGATTATTATTGAAAAATTAATAGTTACTATTGGCGCTAAGGGATAGTCGTCTGTCCCAGTCTGACATCTAATATTTAAAGTTGGAAAATTTTTAATTTTTGTACTTTTTCAAAATTTGTAAGGGAACTGGAAAAACGATGATCTTTCATCGCGATATTATTGAAAAGTAATGAATACTTTTGAAACTATTTTGAAACTATTGAAAACTAAGATTTCTCGAGTATTTATTATACGGCGCGAAATTTAATGCGGATAAATACGTATATTTTAATACGGCGGTCGAGTTGGAAAGTAAAGTAAAGTTTTTTAAATTCGAAAGAAGTATATAGGAAACGGGTGTTCCCAAAGAAATATATATAAAACTGGAATTGGTTTCTTTCCAGATTTCGCTGGAAAATTTTGTGCCGCGAAATGTCGAAGAAAGAATTTCTACAATTATCAATGTTTATTTTAAAATATTTAATTCCATGTTTCCATCTCGTTCTCGTATTTCGTTTCTTATTTTCGCATCTGGTAAGAGCCGAAGAACGCGTTAAACTTTTGTTTACGGAAATCGTAGGAGAAAGCGTATTTCGTGCTAACGAAGAAAAACAGAAAATCCACCAGGATATTTTAAGATTATCGTCTACGTATTTTTCTTGCAAAATGCGTATAAATTGTTTTCGGGAAGAAACTGTATAAATTACATTCATTTATACCGTTTTGTATTTGTGCCTGTTGTTAATATTTGCCGACGCCGGTGTAAGCGGTGAGTGTACGGTGTGGCGAAATCGTGGGAGTAGATTGCAACCCTTTTAGTTTAAGGAAACTGGTGGGAAAAGTGAAAATTAGTTTTCTATCTGCACGCTTAAATTTACATATTTCATTTGACAATAAATTGAAGAGAGTTTCCATCTTTAGACGATGCTTTTAATATTTTTATTTCTCGTGTTTTACGGGTTTAAACATTCGGAAGTCAAAGAATGGGAAGTATCGATGCGACAGTTGCCAGAAAGAATTCGCTTCCAAGTGTAATTTGATAAACCATCGAAGGATTCGCACCGGAGAAGGGCTCTTATCTGGCAAATTCTGTACTCGTCGGTTCGTCCATTCCGGCAGTCTATATAACCTCGTCAACGCTCACACCGGAGAGAAACCCTTTACCCGCCATCGTTGCCAACCAAGTTTTACGCGGAAAAGCGCTCCGATTCGGCATCTCCGAATTCATGCGGGGGGAAAAGCCGTTCTCGTGTATTTATTGTTTTCAAAAGTTGCGTTCTAAATGTAGTTTAAATTGTCATATTATTAAATATCGTAATAATTATAACGAATAACGGCATTCGTTACGGAATGAAAGGTTAACAAAAGTAAATCTAAAATCTAAATACGAATATTCGTACTGATATTCGTATTTAGATTTTATCGAACATAAAACAAGAAATGTTTCGAGTTTTATTTTCTCCATTTCTAATTTTTCCTTTTTTTAAAATATATTTGATTTTACGGAGTGAACGGAAAATGTTTTGTAAAATTGTCTTTTAATTTAATAAATAAAAGTTAAAATACGTGTATCATTTCTTTAGTTCGGTGGATATCCGTTTCCCTTAATCACGAATTACTCGTTTAGTGTTGCTATAAACTACCACTGCCAAGTTGTTATCTTCTTTACGGTGATCATCGGAGACGAATCTGAAAGCTATTACACCGCACTGTATTGTATATTGTATTACTTAACATTAACGGCGAAATTTATTAAAAATCTTAATGGAGATGTTTGAATCGACCAGATCTAAAAAAAGATTCTAATTGGTTAAATTCCCGTACTTTTGGTCGAAAATTTCGAAATTTTACAGAAAGGTTTCTTTATTAGGGGGTCGATGCTATTAAATTTTGGTGACTAAAGGTCGATAAGGTGGGGAGTAACGGAGGTGATGCGTATCTTCAGTTTAGTCGGACTTAATGACGATTTTCTTGGTTATTAGCGTGTACAATTTTTTTTATATAAAACTCGTGTCTAACCTCGAAATTAAGCTTTTTGCCGTATTATAATAGTTAAAAATATAAAAAAAAGTTTTTAATATAATACGATAACGGATGGCGCCACCAAAATGTGTTGCCGGAAAAGTCCAGCAACTCGTTGCCGCTTTATTCTTTTTGTTTTAATTAACGTTTTTATTGTTTTAATTAACGTTTAATTAACGACATTCGGTGGTGCCATTTGTTACTATATTTTAGTAAAAAACTTTTTATACTTTTAACTATTATAAAACGGCAAAAAACTTAATTTTGAGGGTAGGGACGAATTTTTTAAGAAATTGTAAATGCTAATAACCAGTAAAATCGTCATTAATAAATCCGACCCCACTGGATATGTACAACCCCCATTATCTCCCCATCCTTCTACTTTTAATTACCGAAATTTAATAGCGTCGTTCCCCCTAATACACGGAAAGTTGTTAAGCTTCAAACAGAGTGAACGAAATCGTAACAGACACGCACACAAACACTCATACGTACAGAAATCACCCCGAATGCTTTTGCATTTCACCACGATTCGAGGTGTCCCGAGTCCAAAAATGTAAATATCTCGGTTATATATAACAGCCGGGAAAGTAATAAACGAATACTTTTAGTGTATTTGTTAAACATTTTTCTAAGAAGAGGAGAAAGTAAAAACAAAATCTTGCACGGGAAACGACAGTTAGTCAAGGATTAAATTTTGATTACACGAGAAACGTCATCGCCGTTCTCTTCCTATTGTTACAAAAGTTTACTCTAATACAGATTTTGTAATCAGTTGTCGCATTTTCTGATAAATTTGTTCCCGTTCGATGACTATTGTAAATGTAGTTTGTAAAATGTAGAAGAAAGCAAATAAATACACCTCCGTGTATTGTTACGTCTCGGGTTTCCCTCCTCTTTTGCCAATTATTTCTACGGGATGCTTGGACAAACAGTTAACACCGGGTCAAATATTTGTTTTTTCTCGCGATTTGCCGAAAGGAAGGAAGCGAAGAAAGAGGTGTTGACTACGTACTGTACAGGAAGGAGGAAGAATCGTATTGTGAAAGACATTTGTTATCGCCTGGCATTGGGGAACGCGTAACGGGAAAGATGCGGATTTTTTATCCGGTCCGGAAAAAACTTAGGGGCCCGTGGTGTAAAATTAACGTTATTTTACTAACAGACAATAAAATTTTACGACTGCTTTTACTAGGCCCGGTCTGTCACCGGGCCCCTTGCGAGTGTTCGATAGATTTCTTCTCTTTTGTTTCTATCGAAATCGTTAATTTATATCTCCGGTTCTCCCTCCCACTCGGCCGCCCCATCGTCAGTCCGTCCTTTAATAGACTGGCCGAAAAAAGGCCCTCTTAGCGCCCTCGGAGAGAAGAGTTTACAAAACATCGGTCGATCGATTCTACAATTTATAGAAGCATCGAGGAAATTTTTTAAATACGTAGCAATTTATTCTTTAACCTTTGACGTCTCTTTATTGCCGTCTTATTTGCCGCGACGTATCGTAAACGTAATGTTTACGGTACGGCAAACCTTATACGTTACCGCGTATAAAACACCCGTTTGTTTACAATGGTATAAATCGTTTGGTGATCGGAAGACGACGTTTTAAGAATCTTTGATTTTAAAGTGTTGCGCGTAAAGGCGTTTTATCGCCTTCTGGATTGCGTTGTAATACATTATAACTTTTCCCATTTAAAATAATGGAAAATACTTTGGTGTAAACTTGTTTCGGGAGGAACCATGTAATTTAATAGGAAACAAGGAATTGGGTATGGCGGATAAAACTCATTTTGTAGGTCACAAGGCGAGGATTTGAAGCGTATTGTCCGAAAGAAGCGGGAACAATAAATGTTTAAATAAATATTTATTTAGCGACGGACGAAGAAAGCCGGGTGGAATTTCTGAATACAATTCGTTTCGGCGGNTGAATTTCGAGATTTCGTTTACCGAAATGGAGGAGCCGACGAGTTACGACCGGCCGGGAATGTCATCGGAAGAACACCAAAATGACAATGCGTTCTTCTATTTCGGGCGGATTGGATTGTTGGGGCGTTAACTAAATGAACGAAATGGCTAATCGGTAGACAAAACTTAAGGGGGAAACACGAGTTCCAAATCAGATCCGAACGTCTCCTCCTTCTATTAACGATTTCCGTCCCCGGGTTAATGCGGCTACCTTTAAATATAATCGTTCCCACCGAAGACGCGGGTGCCAATCTCTCCGGAGGGAGATCCGCATCCACATTTTCGATATATAACGATACTCGTTGTTCGATTAGGCTGCGCGAAGCTGGGGAGGAAGGTAGAGTTGGTGGAAACCGCAATCTTTAAATTAAACCCGGCGATTTTAACCTTTTTCCCAAATATTTCACACTTGGAAATAACGACTTCTGGCATCTTTAAAGTAGAAATGGTTTCCTCTCCGCAACACCTAACTTGGCAAAAGACGGCCAGATCTCGCTCTTATAACGCCGAGAAGAAGGCGCTGTAAGAACGAGATCTCGCCTATTACGCCCTCTTCCGATATCGGAATGCGCGTGGAATAACATTCGACGCACCCACTTCTGACCCACGCTATTGCCCATGCGTTTGGAAAAAGTAAAGTCATTCTCGTTGGCGGTTACCGGACCTGGCGTGGCACGTTCGCGTATCGGAACGACTCGATAACCGTGGCATATTGTCGTAGGCGAAGCCGCAGAAACCAATTTTTACCGTCGAAGAAGATAATTACCATTTGGGGCAGCCAACAGACGACGAAGAAGATGCAGAAGACGATCATCAACTTGGCGAAGGCCACTTCTTCGGCCGTGACGTGGTCGAAGGCCAGTTCGTTGCTCTCCTTGCGAACGACGGTGCGGCCGGCACCCGCCTCCCACTTCTTGGCGCCGATTCGACACAGAACTCTGACCACGGCCAAGTTGCATCCCGCCATGATCAGGCACAGGGACAGGCCGAAGCCCAGCATCAGGTAGGCGTAGGCCACGTCTTTGGCCGACCTGGCGAATCTGTATCTGACGCAGACGGGTCTCCCGTCGGTGGCCTGGCCGTCGTAATACAGGCCGAAACCCATCAGAGGTAGACAGACTAACACCAGCGCCAACATCCACGTGGCCAAGATGACTCTCTTGATGACTTTGTAAGTGATGTGCTGAAATTCAAACGGGAAGGCGTAAATACGAAAAGAAGCCGAAATACTATGAAAATATAGAAATTTAATAGTAAAATATGTGTTGGATTTCGAGTTACGAAATTATTACGTATGGCTCGAGGATTCGTTTCTCTTCGGCGGCGAAATTTTCGGGTAAAATATCCCCGTTGCAAAAAGATTATTTTGGAGATTTTAGGTCTGTCGAGTGCCCGTCTACAACTTTAAAGAATTTAGAGTTGTAGACGGATGGTCGAGATGGTCGAGAGATTAAGATGGCGGCATACTTCTCTGGAACCCAGAATCGAATCCGGAAGAATAGAAAATTTCTCGTAATTTTTCGGGGATACGTCGGGCACCGTCCTTAACCACCCGCTCGCCCTACCGTAGCACCTACGCGGAACACACAATAGCTAAAAACGACCCTCTTAGTGCCCGCAGAACAGAAAAAGTTTTAAAAAACGGCAAAGGATTCGGATCCGACTCGATTGTTACTCTTCCATTTCTCAGTTACGTCGATCGATCGATGGTCGAGTACCAAACCTATTCAAAATATATTAAACCCGTTNAAAGCGAGTCATACAAAACAAAATTTGTAAACACGTGGATAGGGACAGTGTGTAAACACGTGGATATCGTTCGCCATCTTGAATACTGAACGCATGCGCCGAAATGTAAGCGGATTGCCGCTTGTGTGGTTGTGCTGCCGTGCGGCGAAGATGCGTTTGTGTCACCGCTTTTCCTTGCCGCGCCGCATGTGTGCATCCTGCTTTATTCTTTTTGTTTTAATTAACGTTTAATTAACGACATTCGGTGGTGCCATTTGTTACTATATTTTAGTAAAAAACTTTTTATACTTTTAACTATTATAAAACGGTAAAAAGCTTAATTTTGTGGGTAGGGACGAGTTTTGTAAAAAATTGTAAATGCTAATAACCAGTAAAATCGTCATTAATAAATCCGACCCCACTGGATATGTACAACCCCCATTATCTCCCCATCCTTCTACTTTTAATTACCGAAATTTAATAGCGTCGTTCCCCCTAATACACGGAAAGTTGTTAAGCTTCAAACAGAGTGAACGAAATCGTAACAGACACGCACACAAACACTCATACGTACAGAAATCACCCCGAATGCTTTTGCATTTCACCACGATTCGAGGTGTCCCGAGTCCAAAAATGTAAATATCTCGGTTATATATAACAGCCGGGAAAGTAATAAACGAATACTTTTAGTGTATTTGTTAAACATTTTTCTAAGAAGAGGAGAAAGTAAAAACAAAATCTTGCACGGGAAACGACAGTTAGTCAAGGATTAAATTTTGATTACACGAGAAACGTCATCGCCGTTCTCTTCCTATTGTTACAAAAGTTTACTCTAATACAGATTTTGTAATCAGTTGTCGCATTTTCTGATAAATTTGTTCCCGTTCGATGACTATTGTAAATGTAGTTTGTAAAATGTAGAAGAAAGCAAATAAATACACCTCCGTGTATTGTTACGTCTCGGGTTTCCCTCCTCTTTTGCCAATTATTTCTACGGGATGCTTGGACAAACAGTTAACACCGGGTCAAATATTTGTTTTTTCTCGCGATTTGCCGAAAGGAAGGAAGCGAAGAAAGAGGTGTTGACTACGTACTGTACAGGAAGGAGGAAGAATCGTATTGTGAAAGACATTTGTTATCGCCTGGCATTGGGGAACGCGTAACGGGAAAGATGCGGATTTTTTATCCGGTCCGGAAAAAACTTAGGGGCCCGTGGTGTAAAATTAACGTTATTTTACTAACAGACAATAAAATTTTACGACTGCTTTTACTAGGCCCGGTCTGTCACCGGGCCCCTTGCGAGTGTTCGATAGATTTCTTCTCTTTTGTTTCTATCGAAATCGTTAATTTATATCTCCGGTTCTCCCTCCCACTCGGCCGCCCCATCGTCAGTCCGTCCTTTAATAGACTGGCCGAAAAAAGGCCCTCTTAGCGCCCTCGGAGAGAAGAGTTTACAAAACATCGGTCGATCGATTCTACAATTTATAGAAGCATCGAGGAAATTTTTTAAATACGTAGCAATTTATTCTTTAACCTTTGACGTCTCTTTATTGCCGTCTTATTTGCCGCGACGTATCGTAAACGTAATGTTTACGGTACGGCAAACCTTATACGTTACCGCGTATAAAACACCCGTTTGTTTACAATGGTATAAATCGTTTGGTGATCGGAAGACGACGTTTTAAGAATCTTTGATTTTAAAGTGTTGCGCGTAAAGGCGTTTTATCGCCTTCTGGATTGCGTTGTAATACATTATAACTTTTCCCATTTAAAATAATGGAAAATACTTTGGTGTAAACTTGTTTCGGGAGGAACCATGTAATTTAATAGGAAACAAGGAATTGGGTATGGCGGATAAAACTCATTTTGTAGGTCACAAGGCGAGGATTTGAAGCGTATTGTCCGAAAGAAGCGGGAACAATAAATGTTTAAATAAATATTTATTTAGCGACGGACGAAGAAAGCCGGGTGGAATTTCTGAATACAATTCGTTTCGGCGGTTCTTCTGAGTCCGGTGCCATTCGATTCGAAAAATAATTTGCCGCCGGCGCGAAATTCGGACGATTCGACGTTCTTTAGTAACGTTTCCGGAAGACTCGAGACATTCGTCTTGGCTCTTCCGGTAGAGATTTCGTGTTCTTCCTCCTTGGGAAAAGGTAACCCGGTCGGTAAGGCGAATTTTCCTCGTTTATTACCGACAGGGCCTACTTACCGCCGATCAGACGGCGTCGGGGGTAGAGGAAGGGGCGTCTGGTCGGCGGAAGCGGCAGAGTTGGCAGACGGGTCGCAACATCCGCTTCAGCCCCTCGCGATGGGCCCTCCTACTCAACACGTAGACGATGGGATCCAGGCTGAAGTTGGTGGCCAACAATACGTCGGCCACTCGGTAGAAGGGGCGCTCCTCCTCCTCCGGATCGGCTTGGGCCACGACGATGGTCACCTGTCGGAATAAAATGTCTTTCTTAAAAACTTTTCCAATAAAATTCCCGGAAGTTCTTGGTGAAATTCTCCGTCGCTTTCAGAAAATTTTTTGTTCGCTTTATTATTCCTTTAAAATTTTCGATTATTTCAAGTACAGTACGTCTCTTCCGCTTTTTCGTGCAGTTAGCCGTCACCTTATATCGTTTCTACATTTTAAAAATAACGGAAAATAAACGTAATTGTAAGTACATTACAGTTTCCAGTCTTAATTTTTAGTAATCGCGAGAGCGTGCGGCTTTACGTCTCGGCATCGACTCTCCTGGCCAATTATCGAGAGAATCGGTGGGGAAAATGCGCGTTACTTTCGAAATTAATTCGTGCTAATTGCAGTTTAGTTAATCGGCTTCTACGGTATCCAATTCCGTTTTAGCCTCCGGCAGAATTCGTCTCCCGGAAGATATCGGTCGCGATAAATGTAAATCAATTCAAACCGATAGGGATCCACTATTCGATTCGTGGAATTGGTGAAGCCGCTCTATTAGACCAACGCCATCGTCGATAAGAAAGAAATTACGTGTTTCCTCTCCGCAACACCTAACTTGGCAAAAGACGGCCAGATCTCGCTCTTATAACGCCGAGAAGAAGGCGCTGTAAGAACGAGATCTCGCCTATTACGCCCTCTTCCGATATCGGAATGCGCGTGGAATAACATTCGACGCACCCACTTCTGACCCACGCTATTGCCCATGCGTTTGGAAAAAGTAAAGTCATTCTCGTTGGCGGTTACCGGACCTGGCGTGGCACGTTCGCGTATCGGAACGACTCGATAACCGTGGCATATTGTCGTAGGCGAAGCCGCAGAAACCAATTTTTACCGTCGAAGAAGATAATTACCATTTGGGGCAGCCAACAGACGACGAAGAAGATGCAGAAGACGATCATCAACTTGGCGAAGGCCACTTCTTCGGCCGTGACGTGGTCGAAGGCCAGTTCGTTGCTCTCCTTGCGAACGACGGTGCGGCCGGCACCCGCCTCCCACTTCTTGGCGCCGATTCGACACAGAACTCTGACCACGGCCAAGTTGCATCCCGCCATGATCAGGCACAGGGACAGGCCGAAGCCCAGCATCAGGTAGGCGTAGGCCACGTCTTTGGCCGACCTGGCGAATCTGTATCTGACGCAGACGGGTCTCCCGTCGGTGGCCTGGCCGTCGTAATACAGGCCGAAACCCATCAGAGGTAGACAGACTAACACCAGCGCCAACATCCACGTGGCCAAGATGACTCTCTTGATGACTTTGTAAGTGATGTGCTGAAATTCAAACGGGAAGGCGTAAATACGAAAAGAAGCCGAAATACTATGAAAATATAGAAATTTAATAGTAAAATATGTGTTGGATTTCGAGTTACGAAATTATTACGTATGGCTCGAGGATTCGTTTCTCTTCGGCGGCGAAATTTTCGGGTAAAATATCCCCGTTGCAAAAAGATTATTTTGGAGATTTTAGGTCTGTCGAGTGCCCGTCTACAACTTTAAAGAATTTAGAGTTGTAGACGGATGGTCGAAATGGTTGAGAAATTAAGATGGCGGCATACTTCTCTGGAACTCCGAATCGAATCCGGAAGAATAGAAACTTTCCCGTAATTTTTCGGGAATATGTCGGGCACCGTCCTTAACCACCCGCTCGCCCTACCGTGGGACTGGCGGAACACACAATAGCTAAAAACGACCATCTTAGTGCCCGCAGAACAGAAAAAGTTTTAAAAAACGGCAAAGGATTCGGATCCGACTCGATTGTTACTCTTCCATTTCTCAGTTACGTCGATCGATCGATGGTCGAGTACCAAACCTATTCAAAATATATTAAACCCGTTCACACCGAGGACGGTGGCGGATCCCGGTTCTCTACCGCCTGGAGTTAACAAACGCCATTCAATTTGTAGAGCTATCGGCTCGATATCCTGGTTTGCATTCCCTTCTCCGTCCAGACATTATAATACTATTCAAATATTATCTCGTGTTCCGGTCCAATTTATACGTTACTTACGAGAGAAGGAGAAATCCTGGCAAAATTCGAAAATTTACGGCCGAGATTTAAGCGTAATTGATTTTATACAACTCGATTCGAATACAACAATTGGCAAAAATTTCCTAAGATATTCTGAAGTTTCTGCGGGCGGTAACGGAACTAAACGGGGTACTGTAATATAAATTAATATCTTATATTAGCGTTCGATGGTTAACCTTAATTCTCGAGTCTGTCGATGATGGAAACTCGAAAGATTACTGGCGTAAGTTCCCATTGTATTCGTGTGTGATAAGGAAAGAACATTTACCGCGCTAAAATAAAATGGTAACTTCTACTTTTCACACGCCGAATTTTTGGAATCTCCGCCTTTCGTCACCCCTAAATCCAAAATAGTTAAACACTGTAACGAGCTTGTGCGCGTGTTGGATAACATAAATATTAAGAAACAAAATTTGGCACGATAACTCGCTTACCAGGGGAAATTTACGCTAGTAAATTTTGGTGGTTAGAACTAAAAGGGTGGGGAGATAGAGGGGATGGTGTGTCTCGAGCCAGTTCGGACTCGATAAAAATTTTACCGGTTATAGGAATTTAAAATATTTATAAAACGTCGTCTCTGCTCTCGAAATTAAGACATTTTGCCTTTTTTTTAATAATTAATAACATAAAAGTTATTTTTAAATAACGAGTCCCCAGCTAACGTCGTAGTGTTTTTTAAACTTAAATATTTTTGTAAATGGAGACTTTTTTTTATCAAAATTCGACAAAATTACTCCTCTTAAATCTTACATTCTAGTATAACTGAATATTACCGAAATTCCTTAATTAAACCCCTTAACCTCCCTCGGTCCGATTAACGTTCGAGTTCCAGGAAAATCGGGCCAGACCCCCGGTCAGACGTTTTCATACTAAATTTCGACGGTAAGAAACGTTGCAATTGCTATTTACAATCGTATTTCTCGACCGTCGTTACAGGTGGGAAGTCTCATCTGGCAACAATTTATGGCGTATTACGTAATATGCATTACGTGATGTTGTACCGACCGCACTTTTTTTTTCTTCTAACACCGGAATGAAAAGGAAAGCATGGGATGTAGAAAGCTTTTAAGTGTTTCTCACTCGACACCCACGCAACTCGTTTACTAAGCGAGCGTTGTCGGTCGAGAAGACAACGCTCGCTCGAGTTAATGCGAAGATTTAACGTTAACAAAAGATGACAGAAGATGAAAACGATTTCGGAATACGTTATTAATTAACGTTTAAATTAATTTAAAACATTTAAATCTCTTAATTAAAATAAAATGATATAAATCGAGATTAAGTTTGAAAATAAAAGATTTATATAAAATCCAACGATACGGTAGGGGGAGTTGGAAAATGCTTAACCAACGAGGAATCGAATTTAACCAGAGAATAATTAAACTAAACGTCGGTTTGGATTGTTGGGGCGTTAACTAAATGAACGAAATGGCTAATCGGTAGACAAAACTTAAGGGGGAAACACGAGTTCCAAATCAGATCCGAACGTCTCCTCCTTCTATTAACGATTTCCGTCCCCGGGTTAATGCGGCTACCTTTAAATGTAATCGTTCCCTCCGAAGACGGGGGTGCCAATCTCTCCGGAGGGAGATCCGCATCCACGTTTTCGATATATAACGATACTCGTTGTTCGATTAGGCTGCGCGAAGCTGGGGAGGAAGGTAGAGTTGGTGGAAACCGCAATCTTTAAATTAAACCCGGCGATTTTAACCTTTTTCCCAAATATTTCACACTTGGAAATAACGACTTCTGGCATCTTTAAAGTAGAAATGATGACTTTTTTTGTCGATTCGTTCGTTAGGTTTCGGTAGGATTTGCCGGAGCGTGGCGGAAGGTGCCGCCAACTATGAATTTTTTTTCGAATTAAGCGCGACGGTGCTTACTTAATTCTTATTTAATTACTTACGTAATTAAGTTTGGTTTTCGACGGGTCCCGACGGTACGTACTCTTAGACGCGGCGGAAAAAGTGTCGAGTCTACGTTTATCTTATTTCTTCGGCTATAAAGACGGAAGATTTTAAGAAAGAAAGGCGACAGAAAATTATTTATCGCGAAAGGAAATTTCCAAGAAGGATTTTTGAAGCAAAAAACATTAATTAAAACAGTTTACCTCGGATCAAAACAAACTTCTTTACAAATTATACAATCCAATTGTTCATAAATGTCTTTGTTCGCTATTAAGAAATGCGCTGGAGGATATTTCAACCTTATACTTGTTTGATTTTACACCGGATAACTCTACAATTTCCAGCTATTTCTTTTCATCCTTTCGTCTCGAAAGTCTTTTTTTAATATAAAGTAATTACCTCCATTGAAATCAATAAAACTAGTAATTACGATAATTGTTTAATTTACCTTCCTACCCGAATGAGCGATGGTCCGCGCCGAAAAATATCTATACGTTGATGTATAAAGCAGTTTATAGAGAATAGTATATTTGGAATAAAAGTACGTTAGTGTGTCTGGATGCCGCTTTTCAATTAGAATTCTTATATACTTAAGACGAAAGAAATCTACAAACAGAATTTTATATCCCTAATTTAATTATAATATTCTTAGAAAGGTTTCTAATTACATTTAATAAAATTCGCTTTAAAAAGCAATTAAACTTAATAAATCCAATGTTACAAAATAAAAAACATAATTCTAATGATATAAATTTATAATACGAAGAGAATCGAATAGGCGTGGATATCGAAGAGCCTTATCGATCGATGCGGGTTTTATATAAATATTTATAAGATACATTTTAAAATGTTCGGGGAAAAAATATGTAAATAGGTAGAAAGGGGAAGATTGTACGGAAATGGAGGAGATCGAATGGAAAATACATAAATTAAGTAAGGAGTAACAATGAGAACAAACAGGAAACTAGAGAAGGAAGTGGCGGCCGACGATGAAACTTATTTAAACATTACATTAACGTTCCAAAACCCGAATTTAAAACATAAATCATAGTGTTTTTCTCCAAGTTTCTCCCACAACCGAAAATATCGGAGTTGTTTATCGGTCCCCCGCTTTAACACCGCCGTTTCTACACCCTCGTCCGTCCCGTTTCCTCTAAACTGTAAGTCAGAAATTAACGTTCGAATTATATAATGTCGCTCGGAGTTCTCCGACTTCGATTCCTTTTACGCGGCCGCAAATTAAAGTGGTGACAGTTAAATTGGGGTGCGAGCGACGAAGTAGTCGGAATTTTCATTTCTTCGAAATCTCGACGTAAAAATGCCCGAACGTCTTCCTTCTTTCCGCGTTAATTGGTTATTAATTTACTCCAGGCGTTAAATATTGTAATTTATACAACTCGCTTTTGAATTCGTTCGATAGCTAATTAATACGCAATTAACTGATTACCAGCGAATTCCTTATCTTAATTAGTTAAAAGGTGTTTACGAAATTTTACGGCGTGTCGGAAAGGAATTTTCTATTCATTTTTAAACCTGGTAAATTATACGCGGCGAACGCTAACGATAAAATGAACCGAAGATTCCGAAGCGTAAAGAGCAACCAGGGCCAAAGTTGCAAACAGTTTTTCATTGTTTCTAGTGTAGCCGGAGAAGATAAAGGCGCTACTTTCCAATGCGTTAAGCACAAAAAGCCTTCCTGTATGGTATGTACAGTATATAGATAGGGAGGCAGATTCTACCTGTTGATCGAGTAGAAAGAGCGTCAAAACTATTCACTCGACTTTTAAGGTAAAAATAACGCACCAATCGATGGTTTTCTAGTTTCGATATTAATGGTTAACGTTCTATTTATACAATAGAATTGATTAGACCACTAACGTTAGACGACCGTGCCTCGTCCTTCTACTCGACACTCCCTTATCGATCGACGTTGCTTTTTCTCTTTCACTTCCGCCCGAAAGCCTAACACAAAAACGACGTTTGTTTTTGTGTTACGTCGAGAACTAACCTTCTGTCTAACGTTTTCCGGCAGTACAATTTGTCTTTGTGACTACAACGCGCTTTAAATTATTATGTTGTAATTGTACATATTTACAACTTAAAGAGTGTTCTATACCCGGCGTTAAATGGGGGATGAAATCGCGCCTGGTTTAGCGCCGTCGACGGTTCTTACGTTTTAACAACGCTTCCTAGAAACACGCAAAAAATATTTCGAGTATGCGAGAACATTCTTGTACAGGCGATAACTAATTATAGCGGATACTTTTCCCGAAAACCCGTCGTAAAGCGAGATCTCGCCAATCGAATTTTTCAGAAAAACCAACAAATGTTTTATTGTCGTATCGTCACGATACCGGGCTGCAAGTTTTATCATATTTTTTAATTTATTTAACGTAAAATACGTGCGCTCCGCCTGAAATTAGTGCCTTGCCCCTGTACATCATACTTTTCCTTTAACAATAAAGTCGTGCCGGTCATCTAACTGCTTTTGGGAGGAAATTTTGAATGGAAATAACGTAATTTCCAGTTTACATCGGAAGTTTATGTATTGTTAATCGGAACCTCCCGCTCCTAATCTTTCCATCTTACACTAATCTGGAGATTGAAGAAAAACAGACAGATATGTGAAATAAACGAGTAAATAACCTAAAGGATCCTTCCGTCTCTGTAAAATACGTGGAAAATATCGACCCTCGCAGAATTGCTAATCGCTTTTTATTTATATCGAGGAAATTTACGACCAACTTAACTCGTCGTCTCGCTGCACTAACGAGAGTCGAGTTACAACACGGTTAATAGTAGCTTCGATCATCTTACGTCACTAAATTCCAGCCCCGTCCGAACAAAAGACGTCACTCGGACGTCACGTAACAATTAATTCGATTAAGAGTGGAAATCTTGAATTTCGAGATTTCGTTTACCGAAATGGAGGAGCCGACGAGTTACGACCGGCCGGGAATGTCATCGGAAGAACACCAAAATGACAATGCGTTCTTCTATTTCGGGTGGATTGCGTGACAAATGAACGTAATTACGCGTTATCTTTGTTCATCTTTCTCTCTTCGTCTCGTCGAAGGTTAAGAGGATCGTTTGTCTCCTTCCGATCTTCCTACGTACCGCTTTATCCCGGCTATCGATTTAGGCCAGGGGTGTCTAAAGTACCCTAAAGTCCCTAAAGGGACCCCTACTATACCCTTCGATCGACTCCCGACTAATTTCTGACCCACTTCGGCCATGAGAAAAATTTTGGGTCCCGATTTATCCTCCTCGAGTCAGCAGCCTAAGCCCGATGGCACGTTTTGTTTAACGATTGCTTAAGTGTTTTCCTACCTTCTCGTTCATAATTAACGCGTCAATCAAACCGAGTCGAGCGAACCGGAAGGAGAAATTGATGAGAATCGAAAGGTCGTATTCTCTAGAAACACCTCCGCGTGCAGAAAATAGACATTTTCTTCAAATATCCTTATCGGGGATTAAGAAAGACGATCGACTCGAAAAGAATTCCATCCCCAAAGAAATAGGATAAAGAATCGAGAGTAAGTTTAAGATTAAGAAACGAAAACGGTAAACAATTTATAAAACACCCGCCTACGTAGGACAATGACAATTAAGGAAGAGTATAACAATCAAATATTCGGTTTAACGACGCCGGTTGGCCATCTCACCCCGGTCAATAAGTAATTTCGTTAATTTCTTCGTCGGTGCCGTACAGGGCGCATCTACGTTACGTCACAGGTGAGATATTTCTGTCTTTTACTAAATCGTAAAGCGTTACTCGTGTAAATTTATTACTTAAATGTCACTTCTGCGTCAAATTCCGACGACGTTCGAGTGACGAAACAATCGTAACGTTGGGTCAATTATTCGTAAATTATCTCGACACCCGCGTTATGGTCGTTTCTTCGTCGAAATCACCCGTCGGTCGTCGGATCGATCTTCGCCCCCGAAAAAACACTTTTTGGGATGGCGCGAGCCGGCGCCGTCCCGTCGCGGCGCGCCATTTTCCGGCGCTCACCATTCCGGATAATAGTAATACGTTATTCTCGTTTGTACGAAAAGAACAACTCTAATTAATACCCGTCTTGTCAGTTTTCATTAAGCATATCCTCACAATGATGTTTCTCTTCAATCCCGAATCTTTGATAAATTTATCTATTAGAAAATGTGGTTTATCTTCGGTCCATTCTCGAATTTAGGGGAGAAGAGTCGCGAAAATGATCAAAATAAAGATAAATTTTAATAAAGCGATAAAAATTCGGCCACGTCCTACTTTTATCCTCTTTAAGAAGCGCTAAAAAGTGATAACGTAGAGGAGGAATCGACGAATGGAAGGAATTTTGGATCTTGAAACCATCAAAAGATATTTGAAATATTTTAGGAATGTTAAATGCCCGTCCGTTGTTTATCCGAGTAATCTGCTCGCTCTTTGTCTCCCTTCTCGAGACGGTAACCACGTGACCACCGAGAGCGATTGTTACCACACACTTAACCGTCGTCTATCAATTCTAAACTCCGCAACTTCCGGAAAGTTTCGTCTTTTCCGGAACTTCGTATCTGTATTAAAGGACTTGGCTAGTTCCTCGAGCCGAACGACAGTAAGCGCAACGGGAAAGAAAAAGAAAGCGTCGGGGAGGAACCCCCGTCTTTCGAACGGGCTACTTTCCTCTTTAAGGAGAATGGAATAAAAGAAAGAGACTCACCTTGTGGTAGAGAAAGGGTCGTGCCAGAGCCAGGTACCTCTCGACGGCCATGACGGCCGCCACGCACCCCGACCAAAGGCCGAAGGTCCTGAGCAAGACGCGGAGGGCGCAGAAGACGGACGTGGCCACCCGGCGAGGGTCGAGATACAGGCGAGCGTACATCAGGGCGAAGGAGCCCAGGAGGGCCAGCAGGTCTCCGGCCGAAAGACAGCGTAACATCAGCGCGTGCTTCTCGTTGGCTCCGGCTCCCGCCTTGGCCAGAAGAGCCAGAGCGCAGACGTTGCCTCCGACGCCCAACAGGTAGAAACAGGTGATGAGCGCCTGTCCGGGTAAAGACACGTGCCTGAGAGACGAGTCGGAAGAATTCCAGCTCCGGGTCATCTTCCAACCTTCGGCTCTTCCGTCCTCCGACGATTCCCGTTCTCGGCTTGCGCAGACGCCGAGCGGCGGCGCGCGCCGCCCGCCATCGGTGCGGATGCGATTTCGGGTCCGAACCCGCGACAGACGTGTAATTCCCACTCGGGCTTACGTCTACCCGCGTGGGCGCATCTTCTCCACATATTTCGCCCCCAAACGAATGGAACAAATGGAAGTGGGACGAATCTCCGAGGACACGCGATATATTGCCACGGATTCCATTTAAAAGTCGCAAAACACCGGGCAATAAAGGTGGAATCCGACCGACAATAACAGAAAATTGAAAAACACGATGGGAGTCGATCCGGCGCTGGCATTTATCAAAAAATATATCGGGTTACAGACACCGAACGATTGTTACGACACGGCGCGCGGTGTTTGCGACGCAATATAATTTCCTGTTTTCCGGAAGTGGCTCGGATGTTCCGCAACCCCGATAGGTTTAATTACGTAACGGCCATTGTTTACGTCGCGATAGGAAGTCCAGCGCCTTTGTTTCCCTCGCGCGCGCATACAAGTCGGAATTTAGTTAAACAATGCCGAGTTACGCTGAAGTTTTAAAACGTATTTTATATACGTCCATCGGTCAAAAAATGACCCTCAAGATAATTACATTTTTGGACTTCGGACAGCTGGAAACATTGAGAAATGGAATAAAATTCGAAGTAATTTCTGTATGTGCGGAGGGCGCGATTTTCTTCACCCTTTTTCGAGCTTAATTCCCGTGTTTTTTCTCGAAAATTCTAAAATTTTACGGGGGGTTTGTTTATTAGGGGAATCGACGATATTAAACTTTGGTGATAAAGGTCAACGGAATGGTGGCGCGTATCTCCACTAGGGTCGGACTTAATGTCGACTTTACCGGTTATTAGCATTTACGACTTTTTATAAAACTCGTCCCTACCCTGGAAATTAAGCTTCTTGCCGTTTTATAAAAGGTTTTTAAAATAAAATACGATAACAGATGGCGCGAGAAAATTTTGAACGCGGCCGGGAAAGTCGAGCAACTGGTTACCGGTTTATTTTTCTATCGATCGTCAGATTTTTTTCAACTATTCGCGGGGAATTTCGTCGACGTCATATTACCACGCGGCTATTTATCTATAGATGGGTGTCGTTCCGCATTCTTCGCATTGTTGATGGTTGGGATATTTTTCCATTTAACCTAAATTTGTAACCGAATTGCTATATTCCCCGGCAATTTTTGTCCGTCCAACTTCTCCATGTAACGTTACAAAATACTATTTATAGTGCTTCTTTGTCTTAAAGCATTGTTAACGGCCGCAGTTAACGATTAATTAACGTAGGATCAGTTTATAAAATGACATTTTACGCTCTCGTCCACTCGTCTCCTCCAGCATAACCAAAAATATTCGATAATTGCATACATTTTTAACTCCTCTCTTCACAAAACCCAATTATTTCGCCATTTGGGTGGCTTACTCTCCTCCCTACCGGAGGGTTTCTCTTCATTTTAAGGCATTTTAGCGAAAACTTAAATAAGTAAAGGGCCTTCGGTTAGATGTTTAAAAGGTGTAATTTCCCCGTCGTTCTCCTCGATACTTTCGTGGCAGGAATTGGTAAAAAATCGTAGAAATTCTCCAACTTCCGGTAATTTTCCTCACCCGATTCGTCTCCATTTACTTTGAATAAACTGCGCCCGATCAAATTCACTTTTGTCAGTCTTAAATTCTTTCCAATGAACAAATATCACTTTTCATTTGTATCCGCAGGCTACAAAATTGGCAATTTCTTTCTTCGGAAAGCGGAAAATATTACGAATTTTTATTTGAAAAATTCGTTCTTGTTTGGAATGAAATTCTCCGTCCAAATTTTCGTGCCTTCTATTTATACATTTCGCGTAATTATAAGTGTTTAACCTATTTTAAAACCGCAAATTTCTTCTGTAACTCGCATCCTGCCGGTTGTTTATCCGCGGCCTGTTTTCTTGGCCGTCTCACCCCTTACCGGAGCCAAAAGGGAGCGGAAATTGGGTGTAAATAGCCGTTTATCGACTAGCATCGAGCGCCTTCGGTGGAAACGATCAATTCTAAATTGTAGAGAGGATATTTTCGCCGCGCATTATACGCGGATAAAGCGGATATTTATGCCTTATCGATGGAAAACTCGACTTTTCTCCGGCGAAAACTAAATGATTTGCGAGGACGACGCGAAAGAAAAGGGATATTTTAATAATTGCTACGTAGAGACGACAAACTTTAATAGTAGAAAACTCGCTTCTTATACGCGTTTACTAATTACCAGTTAATTCCTAGCTTAACGACGAGAAAACGGCGCGAGAAAGGGATCGAATTTGATTGCCAGAAATTCACGCGCGTTTCGGGAACGACGCAATATCCGTCGGGGTTACTAACAAACATTTGTTACGTAACGGATGCCACTGGCGTGACGTCGAAGAGTATCGTCTCCTGTAACCGTCCTCCCGCCGCGATATCGGCGGGTGTCTTAATTAACGGACGGCAATAACACGGCCAAACAGAACAAATTCAGAAAATTGATTTCGTCCAATTACATTTCGGCCAATCGTCCAGACAGGCGTAAAAGTTTTGCGCATTTTTTCCGAACGGAAGCGACGTAACACTTCCCGATACGTCAAAAACACTATAAAATTATTCCCGAATCCGTTCCGCCAGAGGATGAGAAGTTACGACGCCAGCTTCGAGCGGAAGTAATCGGTGATCCGGACGCCGGGTATGCTCGGTGCCACGTGCGTCGCATCTGTACCCTTGGCCAATACCAAAAATAAACGTTATCTTCTTTAGAAAAAGCAAATAATTACGCGCGGAGATTATACAGAAACGAAAGGGGTGTAGAGAAAACGTATAAACGTCACGTTAAAATAAAACAGGTGAGAAAAGTCGAACAACATAAGTATTTATGTGGCATTTCCTCGGATACTCCGATTTAAAACTTTTAATTTTAGTCCAGAATTTCGGGAATTTAAGATAATACACGAATCGATTAAGAATTAGGTCAAGAAAACATAATTTCTAACCATATTAGTGCGTGATCCCAGCGAAAATACCCGTTCGAATGTCGGGGAGAAGAGGCAAAAATATCGGGTGTCGTTCTTCGTCCGGTGTTAAACTTCCGTTTTCGCTTCTGGTCGACGCGTAACCGGACACCGCCAGCCGGAAGTAACCTTAGAATCCGCCGATTAAACCGGAAGAATACGCGAACTAAAGTAGGGGAGACTATTCCGGTCGCTATGACAACTTACGCAGCGGATGCTACGCGGTGATCTGTACGCCGGCAAGTTATTTCCAATATTTTGCGGTGAGTAATCCTCTTCGTAATCCGGTTTCACGCCAGAGACGTATAGAAGAATGGTTCCAATCGTTTACTAGCGCGTGAACGACAACGTTTAAAGGAGTAGGCTACGGAATAATTACGTAAGTGGTTTAAAGGAGTGTTGTTCTTAAAACAAACAAAACGAATTTCTGGAGTTACGTAACATTTTCGGTAGCATTTTCGACTCTTCTTCAACTCTTTCTGTCGAAGACATAAATGCGCTTTACTCCCGAGTGGACTTTAAACGTTTAGCGAGAAACGTCTGATGACCTTGAACTTTCATTACCCACAAACAATAGAAATTAATTATCCAAAATTTAATCTCTCCCTAACACCCGAAGAGTTTTAGGTGTCAAAAAACACAAACCTCGAAGCTCTTTTACCCGTTTCGTCTTCCGGTTTCGCTTCTTTATCAATAATTAGCTAGAATTCCTCTATTATTTTTGAGATTAAACAATGTAATTTTCTTTACAACACTCCTCTCGGGAGTCTTTTGGAAGTATTTTTAAAACTAGTAACGGCAAAACTCCTCGGTACCCTATAATTTCCTTGTCTTCTTCGATATAAAGGAGTTTTCTTCTCGAAATTCAAAGCTTTCTCCCCTATAAATCGTAGAAAAATCGTAAAATCCGAGACGGGGTGTTAAAAGAACTTGTGTCGGTGACGTAGGGGTCTATAGAAATCCATACAAAGGGGGGATAATGAGAAAAATCGAGATTTGCCCCCGAGAGATTAGTTTGACAGAAAGATCAATCGAATTCCTTTTCGATTTCCAGTGAAAAATAACCAGAGATAATTTATGTGTATCAAAGTGTTGACGAAATTTAATTATTCCAAAGTGAATTAAAGGAAAAATTTTCACGAGGATTTTTTCTTTTCTTACAAAAAAAGAACTTTTAGAGGAAAAAACGTATTTAATTGTTGGCAAGCGGAGCTTCCTCTCGAGAAAAGAAAGGCGAGAAACGTTTGCTTTTGACAGAAATTCTTTTAGCCGGTTAAAATACATTTTTGAAAACTTCTCTTTAAATTTGCAACAAAGTTTACTCTTTCTAAAATTAAAAATGAAAAAAACTTTCAGCCGTTTGTACGTTCACGAAGCGACAGAGATTAAGAAAAGAAGAGTTCTATTTCTTACACCTCTCCACCTCTCTCTATTGTCTCTCTTACTCGGTTCGTAAATAGTCCTTCCGTCTCTTTCGTCTACCCCAATTCCTTCTCCTTCCTTATCATTGCATTCTCTTTGGCACTATCTCTTATCCTTCGTTCCCACATTATCCTATCTCCTCCCCAAACACTCGTCCCTTCTATGTTTATTCATTTCTCCACTTGACCGGATACGCCTACTTAAATTTTAAGTTTCAAACTGGTGTTTCGTAAGTAACAATAGAAAGTACTAAACCGTTAGAAGACCCCGGAGCGGATTTGGGGGTGGGCCAAGCGCGGCCGCACCCCTTCTGGATATTAAATAAGAAATCGCTAAAAGAAACTTCGGCAGAGGCGGCGATTTTTCCTTTAACAATAGAGTCGTGCCGATCATCTATCTAACTCCTTTCTGGGAAAATTTTTTGAATTAAAATAACGCGACTTCCGGTTTTTACCGGAAGTTGGTATACAGTTAATTGTGGCCTCCTGCCCCTAAAGTTTTCATAGATCTTGTCTCTTCTTTCGTTTATGAAACCCCGTTCTCGAGATTAAGGAAGGATAGACGAATTTATAGGTCTACAATTTTTTCGAATTGCAGTTCAATAACGAATAAAAT